ATATAGAAATTTTTGATATTTGCAACCATAGTAAAACAAAGATTGATATTTTTGATATTTATTTTATATATTTAAATGCCATTTAACAAAGAAAAACCAACCAAAAAAAATGAGTTTGCGTGTCACCTCTGACACGCGTGTCATAGGTTCGCCATCACTGATCTATAGGTATACATGCATGATCTGCAAAGTTTAATAGTAGGCAAAGAAGAGTTTGTTTTCAATTTGACCTTTTAAAATTGACCTTTGTATTGGGGATAATATTACATTTCATATTACAGCTGATTTTGAAAATGTCCAGAGATTAATTTAAATGTGATGGGATGTTTTTATTTTATTTATGTCAACTCTAAGATCCAGAGAGCTATCAGAGCCTGCCCCATGAAATTGTGGTCAATCTTGCTGCTTTTTTTGAACTTTGTGATGCACTAATCCTGCTCTGGGTACAGTCCTCCCAAGGAATAGTGTCTGATGCCAGTGTCAATGAGGTAAGGAAAAATGTATCTATTTTTATTCTAACAACATCTTTTTGGCACAAAGATTCTTAGGAACGAGACTAATTTTATTATGTCAAATATTGAGAAATTTAATTGTTCTTAACACTTTAAAGTATATACACAGTTTAAAGGTTTATTAGGGTATAATTGATATATAACAAATGGCATGTATTTAAAGTGTTCCATTATACGGTACATGTATATACCTATGAGTCCCTTACCACAATCAAGATAGTGAACATATATCCATTACCCTCAAACCTTCCTTGTGCTTTTTTGTATTCCTGTCCCTTGCCCTCACCCCAACCAGGTATCTATGGCTCTTCTTTGTGGTACTATAGCATATTCTATAAATGAAATTATGCAATACATATTCTTTTTTGTCTGATGATTTTCATTCTAAATAGTTATTTTGAGATGCATCCATATTGTTTGGTGTATCAAGAGTTCATTAAGATTGCCTAGTAATTCCATTAAATGTATGTATTGTAACTTATTTATCAATGTATGTGTTGCTGGACTTTGGAATTTTTAGTTTCATTTTAATTTACTTAAGCCTTCTAGACATCACTTGTCACATGTGGATTTAATTGAGTTTTGAATATGGATTATTCTAGTAATTCTATTAAACTAGAGTAGCAGGTCTTAAACCCTTTGGTCTCAAGACTCCTTTATGGTTTTAAAAGTTACTAAAGATCCAAAAGAACTTTTGTTTATATGGTTACATCAATATTTATTAAATTAAGATATAAACCTGACAAATATAAAAAATAGTTATTTATCTGTTTAAAAACACAATAACGAATCCATTTCATGTTAATATGAATAACATTTTAAGTGAAAAATCAACTCTTTTCCAAAACAAAAATTAATGAGAAAGAGTGCTACTGTTTTACATTTCTGTATGTCTTTTTAATTTCTGGCTTTACTAAAGAAAGCTGGATTCTCACATCTGCTTCTGCATTCATTCTCTTGCAATATATTTGTTTGGGTTGAAAAACGCCTCTATTCATAGTTTTGAGGTTGGAAAAGGGAGGAATATCTTAATAGACATTTCATATAATTGTGAATATTTTTCTTTGATACTATACCACAACTTGACAAGTGGTGGTTTTATAAAGGTTACTTGTAATATGGAATCCAAAAAAATGTCACTAATCTTGTTAAGCTAGTGTATTAAAATCCATTGGCCTAGCTTGCACTTGGGATAGACTTTTACCCTTGTGTGCATTTATAGCTAATGTATTGGTAATTTGGAAAATATTGTTCTCTGAGTTATCAGATCTTCCAAATGCTAACATATTTCATTCTTCAATATAAATAAAGTCACAGTCATAAAAAAAATTACTGCAAACCTCATCAGAAAAATCTTTTTAAAAAATATATTTTATTGATTTTTTTACAGAGAGGAAGGGAGAGGGGTAGAGAGTTAGAAACATCAATGAGAGAGAAACATCAATGAGAGAGAAACATCGATCAGCTGCCTCCTGCACGTCCCCCTACTGGGGATGTGCCCGCAACCAAGGTACATGCCCTTGACCAGAATCAAACCTGGGACCCTTCAGTCTGCAGGCTGATGCTCTATCCACTGAGCCAAACCGGTTAGGGCAGAAAAATCTTTTAATGTTGGGAAGCTTTTTCTAACTTTTAGGTTTTGCTGAAAAGCTTGAATTTTATCACTGGCAGCATATACTCTGAATTGTTTTTCATGACCTGACAGAATCACTTTATTCATTTTCAATACAGTATTTGCCAGATACCCAGTCACAGTTTGTCTATTATCTTTTTTGTGGGGGAGGAGGTGTACCATTAGTATAAATGTCAACATGGGAAAGAGGCAAGTAATGTGATATTATTGTTAACATAGCTTTAACTACATGGAAACCGTGAAAGAAATCACTAATCTTGAGACTACTTGCTGTAAAAATACATTTTTGCAAGAGCAGTGTTGGGGACTCACATTTACCTAATTTGCATTCAGAGCTACATAAATGAAAACAGTGGGTATTGTTAGAAATGGACCCTGACATATGTGGTCAGTTGATTTTTATTTTTTGGGGGGGGGGCGTTAATCCTCACCTGATGATATTTTTCCCATTGATTTTTAGAGAGAGTAGAAGGAAGGGACACACACACACACACACACACACACAGAGAGAGAGAAACACACAGAAACATAGATGTGAGAGAGACATATTGATTACTGGCCTCCCGCACACGCCCTGACTAGGGCCGAGGATCAAGCCTGCAACCGAGGTATGTGTCCTTGACTGGAATCAAACCCGTGACCCTTCAGTCCACAGGCTACAGGCCGGCAAGTCTAACCACTGAGTGACTGGGTAGCAGGGTCAGTTGATTTTGTTACTGTTTTTGCCAGATGTGCAAAGGTCGTTTACTGGAGAAAAAGAGTCTATCCTACAAATGGAACAAGTAGATGTTCATATAATAAAGTAAAAATGAGCCTTTATCCCTACCTTACATGATATCGAAAGTTATTTCAAAATGGGCCATAGCCTAATATTAAAGCCAAAACTATGAACTGTCTAAAAGAAAACAGGAGAAAATCTTCGTAACCTGAGGATAGGAAAAGATTTTGGAAGATTGTTTGTAAAAGTTTCATAAAAATCAGACACTTCTGTTCTTAATAGATAACTTTAAGAAAATGGAAACACTGGGAACAAGTGTTTAAAAATCATACATAAATTATATAAACAAACTAATAAGACAGCCGAATTTAAAAAATGTGATTTTTTTGAATAGATGTTTCTCAGAAGATGTAAGAATGCCTAGCAAGAACTTGAAAAATTGCAAGATCATTAGTTATCAAGGAAATGGAAATTGAAACCATAGTGAGGTGTCACACACCAAAATGGCTAAAATTATAATCACTACCAGCAGGTAATATTAGCAAGGAAATGGAACAACTTGGTTGGAAGTTGTTGGAAGACAACTTCCAACCAACTATACTGTTGGTTGGAAGACAAAATAGTGCAGCTGCTTTTTAAGACAAGTTGGTGGTTTCTTATAAATTACTTCTACACCTAACCATAGGACCCAGTAATTCTGTTTTCTCTAATGTAATAGCTCTGAACTTTTAAATATTAGGAGCAAAGATTTTTTGCCTTCTCTGACTTTCTTATTGTCCCTAAAAACATTCCAGTGGAATATTAGACCTTTCACATGTGCATGGTGAGTATTGGTTAATAATTGAAGTCTATGTCTTTCCTGGGAGATGTTTGTGAGCAGTTTTGGTTTCCATTGTTTTTAGATCTTGGCTTCTCTGCGGTGGCGGGACCGGTTTTGGACTGTGGCTGACACAGTAAAGGTGGATGCCCCAGGGCTGGCCCTGCTTGCCCTTCACTGGCACTGGGTTTTAAAACATCTGGTCCGTCAGATTCCCCAACTCCTGATGAACCATGAAGACAAGTAAGATTCATGTTTAGAGTAATAATGTCAATATCTATAGTATTGATGATGTTAAAAAGAAGATGGCTTGGAATTGAAACTTCTTTCTTTGGTTTATTCCCTTGGCCTACTAGTGAATGTAAATCAGATATAAAATGTAAGTGATGTCTCTTATGGTCCAGCATGTTCCCCTTTCCTTACTTCCCCTCTGCCCTTTTTCTCCTTCTCTAAAGATACTACAAAGAGGTCCAGACTGTCTCAGAGCATATTCAGAATTGCTTGGGGAGCCCAACTGGTGGCTTCACTGGTATAAAGAAGTTGCAGAAGTTCCTAGGACGACCGTTTCCTTTTAAGGTAAACTTGGAATCATGTAATAATCAAAGGTTTGACCTCTTCTCAAATTCTTCTGGAATGTGAAACTGCCATTCAGTTGGACTCATCCTTGCCTGCAAAGCTTACCTGTTAAGTGGCCAACGAATACTATTAACTGATTTGTTAAAAGTTATCATTTTACTTACTCTTGGGACTACTAAGGCTAGGTAGTAACTTTATTACTGTAAAATCTTCTGAGAACATCAGAACAAACAAACCGTATATTTTCTAGAAGCACTGTGGAAATTGTTTGAATCTTTTCTCAGACTTGAATAGGTTGCTTAAAAGAACCACATTTCTTCTCTACAGTAGGCTCTCCTGGGTTTTATTGTTTCAGGACAAGCTGGTGGTGGAGTGTTTTTCACAACTGAAAACTCTTAACAAAGCCCTTGCCATCAGGGAGCGGATGGCTGCTGTGGGGGAGAGTGTATGGCTAGAAGACATCAGTCGGCTCCAAGTGGTTGCTTCTGAATGGACATTGAAGAAAAGTCTCCTACAGGCTTGGGGGTTGGTCCTCAGAGCTAATATTCTGCAAGATACCAACCCAGGTAACATACTCTGCAATCTGGCCTGCTGACAGATACTCTCAGAGTGTGTCTGCCACCCTGCAGTCAATAAGTTCTAGGTTTTTCCCTTAGGTTTTCTTCTTTTGCTTTTCCCCCTTGGTATACTATAACTACCATTAAATAAGTGTCAGGTGTAGAGCTAAACTTCACATACATTGTTTAATTCTGGCATTAGACTTTTGCGGGGATTAATGACATTTCACAGATACAACACTCAAGCTCAGGTTAAGCTGCACTTTGGTTAAGCTCACAGTCATATTACTGGCTGTTGGGAATCTGATCCTATACGATTGACTGCTGTACAGTGATGCCACATGTGTCCTTTTGTCCAGATGAATTGAAGAATCTTGTGAATGCTCAGTGTTTAGAAGTAAAAGCCAAAGGAATTTCACTTGGTTTTCTGGAGCGAAAGCCCAGTGATGCTTCCACCCCATCTCAGCCAGATTTTACCTCCTTAATCCAACTCACCAGGAGTGTGCAGTTATGGCCTGCAATGGAGTATCTGGCTGTGCTTTGGCAGTACAAAGTGACAGCTGATTTTATGACACAGGCTTGTCTGAGAAGGTAAGCCATTTTTCTCGGGGGAACTTCTTTTCTTGTTAGATTAATCTGTGTGTCCTACATGTGACACAAAGCACAGACTTGTCTTGAGGGGGAGTAGTTGCCGAAGCAGAGGGAGGTCAGTTGCCACTTTAGAAAGCCACAACTTCTTGAAGATTCTTGCTTGTCTTCACTCCACCTTTAAAAGATGCTGGCGATTTTTCCAGTAGTATTGTTTGCTCATTTTTTAAGTAAATGTATTCTAAGTTCAATGTTTTTCATATTTCTGTACATAGCAGTTTTCTAGCCATTCATTGATAGTTCACAGCCTACCCTCTCTCCCTCTTTATTTTTGGAACAGGTCCAGTAAAAATCAGCAGCCCCATATAGATGAGGAAATAAGTAATCATATCACATTTTGTCTTAAGCACACACCAGTTGCTCCGCAAGAACTTCGAGGCCTTTGGTCCTTACTGCATCATTGGAAGGTAAAAAACCAAAATTAAAAAGAAATAAACCTCCTTTACACTATGAGCTGAGTAGATTTTTCTATGGCAGACTAGTTGCAGCACGTTTTATTTAATCTCAAAATTACATGTTGCAAACTCCATTCTTACTTGAGTTAACTTCAAGGGGGAGAATTTTTAATGTTCTTTTGCAATAGTTACCTGGGTATTTCTCAGCTCCAATCACAGGATCATTCTATTCATTTTCCAGTTAAAAGAGGATAAAATATTTGCTTATTTTTATTTTATTTTCTCAAAAATACATTGTGAGAGTGGGTTTTACTCTTCCCCCAAGAATAACTGTTGAATGTGAAAAATGGTAACTGTAGTTAATACAACTTTGTTAGTATAATCTTAATTTTTTAAATAATGTTTTATTTATCTGTTTTGCTGTTGGGAATCAATTATAATTGTTTGATTTATTTTACTTATGTAAACAGATCTCTTCTTAGTTTTTGTTTGTTTTTAATACTCACCTGAGGATATGTTTTTCATTGGTGAGAGAGAGAAATATTGATGTGAGAGAGAAACATTAGTTGGTTGCCTCATGCACATGCCCCCACCAGGGATTAAACCTGCAACCTGGGTATGTGCCCTGACTGGAAATTGAACCCGCAACACTTTGGTACATAGATAACCATCTAACCACTGAGCAACACTGACCAGGGCTCTTCTTAGTCTTATAAAATTACTAGGGGCTCAGTGCACGAATTCATGCACCTTGAAACGTGGTCTGCGAGGCTGCAGTAGGCATCGGGGTGGGTCTCAGCTCATCCTCTGTGCCCCCGCTGGGCCCCTCCTGCTGTGGTCCCCAGCCCCCTGTCTGTTGGCAATCCCGCTTCTGCCACTGCCCCCACATGCTGACAACGCCGGCCCCACTTGCACCCACTGACAGCATGGAGTGATTGGGGCCAGCGCTAGCAGCAGGTGCAAGTGGGACTGGGGCCCTCAGTGGGTGTGAGCGGCGGCTGCTGCCCTGATCGCCCCTCAGGAGCAGGGGGAGGTGGAGAAGCCTTAGGGGCGATCAGGGCCAGCAGCGGGGTTCAGTGGTGGCTCCAGCACCAGCTGTGGGTGCGAGTGCAGCTGGCGCTGGCAGTGGGTGAGAACAGCGGCTCCGACGCCAGCTGTGGGTGCGGGTGCAGGTGTGTGTGCAAGTGCAAGTGAGGCTGGTGCTGGCAGCAGGTGTGAGCGTGGGCAGGACTACAGCGTGTGGGAGCCTTTGCCCTGCCCCCCAGCTCTTAGCTCCCCCCTGGGTTTCCAATCACTGTCAGTGGCAGGGGGCTTCTTCCTGCTTTCCCTTTCGCCTCCCTGCATTTTGCCTACATATGCAAATTAACTGCCATCTTGTTGGCAGTTAACTGCCAATCTTAGTTGGCAGTTAATTTGCATATAGCCCTGATTAGCCAATGAAAAGGTAGCGTCGTACGCCAGTTACCGTTTTTCTCTTTTATTAGTGTAGATAATAAGGGTAGCTCTGGCCGGTATGGGTCAGTGGTTAGAGCGTTGACCCATGCACCAAAGTGTCAAGGGTCAAGGAGATGTACCTGGGTTGCAGGTTCAATGTGTGAGGAAACTGATTGATGTTTCTCCCTCACATCAATGTTTTTCTCTGTCTACCTTTTTTTTCCTCTTCAGTCAATGAAAAAACATATCCACAAGTGACAATTAAAAATATATATATATATATTTTTCAGGATAAGTTACTTTACCAAAATCACCAGGATGGCAGAAAATTAGGAACATCAGGATTAATATCTTTAAACCCATATTAATTTTAAATGGATCTTATAGAGGCCATATAACTTGATTTATGAAATATTTCTCATAAAGATTAATTATTCTTTATCTAATTATTCTTTATCTCTAGGTGTCTATAGAAGAAGTTGCCTCTCTGTGGTCTGACTTATTTAATTCCACATTTATGTCTTTCTGGAGCAGTACTGTGACCACAAATCCAGAGTACTGGCTCACATGGAGCCCTCTGACCGATGTGCAGCAGAGGGAGAGGCCCAAGTCTCTTTTGGACTCCACACTGAAGGTTTGTTGGCATAAAACATAAAAATGTTTGGTGACAGTGGAAAAGATTTTACAATAGATCTAGCAATACCTGTTAGCATAAAGCAGTGACTAAGTAATTATAGGACTTTATTTTCTACAGGATTTTAATAAGTGTACCCTCAAAGGAGATATTCTGTTTTAAATGATTTGGGAAGTTCTGCATTAAAGAATAAAAGGTTCCTTAAAAAGTATTTTATCTCTTTTTTAATTAAAATACTCTTGACTAATTACAAAACATTTAAACACAGCATACATGTGTTCATGTGTGTGTATGTGCATGTATAGTAAAATTCAGTAGAAATAATCACTCTTTGTATCTTTTCATTTGTTAAATATGTTTTTATTGATTTTAGAGAGAGAGAGGGAGAAACATCAATTGGCTGCCTTCTGCACACCCACTATCAGGGATTGAACCTGCAACGCAGGGCATGTGCCCCGACTGGGAATTGAACTTGGGCCTTTTCGTGCATGGGATGATGCTCAACCAACTGAGCCACACCATACAGGGCTTTGCTCTGTATCTTGTTTACCTGTATTTTATATTAAATATATACATGAACAAAAATAGATCTTTTTTTGTTTACATAATACATTATGGAAACATGTACCTGTCATTCCAGCGTACTCTTTTTTTTAAATTTAAATTCTTTATTGTTGAAAGTATTACATATGTCTCCTTTTTTCTGCCATTGATCTCTCCCGCCTGCTCCCATCCTCCAGCACGTGCCCTTGACCCCTGCTGTGTGTGTCCATTAGTTATGCTTACACGCATGAATGCAAGTCCTTTGGTTGATCTCTTACCGCGTCCCCCCTTCCCCCCACCTTCCCTCTGAGGTTTGTTGCTTCTTTGCCTCTATATCTGTTTTTGTTCATCAGTTTATGTTGTTCTAGCTTATTCTTTTTAAGGTATTCCATCCTTCAGATGTGCTGGAATTTATTTAATCATAGGTTTTGAGGTTTATTGTCTGTATTTCCTCCCTTTCCTGTAATAAGCATACTTTATCAATTCCCCTTGCATAAGTTTTTTTCACTTTGAATATTTCTGTGGATATAAGAACTGGAATTTAAATCCTTGATTAAAGGATGCACGGTTAAAGAAATTTATAGCTATTACCAGCATGTCAGTCAGGTGGTTTTTGTTTTACTTTTAAAAAAAAATATTTATTTTTTAATTTATTAAATCTTTATTGTTCAGATTATTGCATTTGTTCCTCTTTTTTCCCTCCCATAACTCCTCTCCTCCCAGTTCCCACCCCACCCTCTGCCCTCACTCCCCACCCACTGTCCTCATCCATAGGTGCACGATTTTTGTCCAGTCTCTTCTCGCATCCCCCACACCCCTTTCCCCCCCCAGAATAGTCAGTCCATTCCCTTTCTATGTCCCTGATTCTATTCTATTCACCAGATTATTTTGTTCATCAGATTTTTTTATTCACTTGATGTTTAGATTCACATATTGTTAGATATGTATTTGTTGTCACTTTGTTCAGAATTTTTATCTTTACCCTTTTATGATGTGTCTTGGTGTGGTCCTCTTTGGATTCCTTTTGTTTGGGGTTCTGTGCACTTCCTGGACTTGTAAGACTATTTCTTTCACCAGGCAGGGGAAGTTTTCTGTCATTATTTCTTCAAATAGGCTTTCAATATCTTGCTTTCTCTCATCTTCTGGCACCCCTCTAATTCTGATGTCCGTTCCATCTTTTAGTTGTATTTTTGAAGTGGTTGTGTGAGGCAGCAATCTATAGTGTTTACCTATGCCGCCATCTTGGTTTTCCTTTTTAAATATGCTAGGAGCCAGTAAAGAGGGAGATCATGAAGCTCTGGACAACCACAGGAGGCCTTGGGACTAGAGCACAGTTTCCTTTATTCATGAGGACCTGTTTCTCCATCACATCGCCACACTGGTGTTATCAGCATGAAATTAGACAATTTTTACAATCTCATTTTAATCCATACACCTTTGATTACTTTTTGAGATTGAATATGATTACGTATCATTCATGTTCATTGCCCATTTTGTTTAAAAAATTGGGTTCGTCATTTTATTATTGGCTACCTCTTTTAAAAAAAAATATTTCTATTGATTTCGGAGAGAAAGGGAGACGGAAAGAGAGAGAAATGTCATTGATGAGAGAGAATCATAGATCAGCTGCCTCATGCACACTCCGCACTGGGGATGGAGCCCACAACCCAGGCATATGCCCTGATGGGGATCAAATGTGACCTGGTTCATAGATTGCTGCTCAACGCCTGAGCCATGCTGGCTGGGCTTAGTGTCTTCTTTTTAAATATGCTTACCCCTTTCTGCTTTCTGGCTTTGGTGCCGTGCTACTTGTTTATTCATTTTTTATTTTGTCATTATTTTTAAATCTATTGGGGTAACATTGATTAATAAAATTGTTTAGGTTTCAAGTGTGCAGTTCTGTGATACATCATCTGTATATGGCAGGTCTTGTGCTTTTTTAAAAAAACTCTTCCTTCACTATACCTAGAATTAAAAAAACTATTCCCATAATTCTTTCTGTATTTTTATTTTGTATTTAAATCAAGTTTATCTGGATATCTTGTTTTTTGAGGTAGACTTACAAATTTTTTATTTTTTGCAAACGTATCCGAATGCTGTATAACAGCACCATTTTTGACTAATTAACCCTTTCACTCTCATTTGAAATGCCACCTTGATTATATATTTTATTTTCCCATAAATGTTCAAGAATTTACTTTTGGAGTCTTTTCTATTCTGTTGCTCTATCAAAACTGTTATGTTTTGTTTTTAGTGAAAAATATCTCTCAAAGCTCTTAGGTGATAAACATTATGGGTCCCTGAGAGTTGAATAGCGTTTCCTGTTACATGTGTTTGCTCAGCTTTTGCTGAGGACAGCTACTGTGTCCCAGATGAACAGTCCAAGGAGCACAGCTTGGCAAACTTTGTCCCTGACTCTTACATTTGTCTCCTAGTTCTTTGCCTCTCAATCTCACCTTTCTGCAGTGTGTTCCGAGCTGTACTGCAAGAGTGGCCTTCCTGCCCTAACTGGTTTGGCTCAGTGGATAGAGCGTCGGCCTGCGGATTGAAGGGTCCCAGGTTCGATTCCGGTCAAGGGCATGTATCTTGGTTGTGGGCACATCCCAGTAGGAAGTGTGCAGAAAGCAGCTGATTGATGTTTCTCTCTCATCGATGTTTCTAACACTCTATCCCTCTCCCTTCCTCTCTGTAAAAAATCAATAAAATACATTAAAAAAAAAGGCCTTCCTAATGTCCAGGATTCAGGGGTTTTCCTCGCATTACTGAAGCACTCATTGCTCCTCATTCCTGGAGAATAGAGTCTACATTCCTTTAAGGCAGCGGTTCTCAACCTGTGGGTCGTGACCCCTTTGGGGGTCGAACGACCCTTTCACAGGGGTCGCCTAAGACCATCGGAAAACACATATATAATTACATACTGTTTTTGTGATTAATCACTATGGTTTAATTATGTTCAATTTGTAACAATGAAAATACATCCTGCATATCAGATATTTACATTACCATTCATAACAGTAGCAAAATGACAGTTATGAAGTAGCAACGAGAATAATTTTATGGTTGGGGGTCACCACAACATGAGAAACTGTATTAAAGGGTTGCGGCATTAGGAAGGTTGAGAACCACTGGATTAAGGCCTGCTAACACCTTTCACCATTTAGTCCTCCTGGTCCTAGCAACCTGAACCTCTTTTCCTTATTCTTTTACTTACCTCTAAGATGCCAGTGCTACTTATTGAAATCCTTTTAATTAATTTCTAAAGTGACTTAACTCTATCCATTAGGGCCCTGGCAGTCTCAGTAGAGCCATGTTCTCCAAGTGCTGCTTCGAAGTCTTGACCAGCAGCTGCAGAGCAAGTCCCTGGGATGTGAGCGGCCTCCCCATCCTATCCTCCTCGCATGTCACTCTGGGAGAGTGGGTTGAAAGAGCCCAGCAGCTCCGGGACATCAGCTCAGTGCTTTGGACCAACATGGCTGTCCCTTCAGTAGCAGAGTTCAGGTACTCCCTCCCCCTGGGCAGGCTGTAAAGCTCCTTTCGTTTCTCCAGAGTATGCATCAGGAACCTCAGTCAGAAATTGCTTCTCTGGTGGCCAGTTCTGGTAGGTGAAGGCCAGGGTGTTTTCTGGCTGGATCAGCAGGTTTTCGACCTATCACAGGCTACTGTGAACTGGCCAGCTGCTCAGTCAATTTTAAGCATGTCATGATCAAGAGAGTAATGCGTAGAAAATCATAGATTATATGAAAATGAAAACACCTAGTATTGGAGTGCAGTCTTTCATGTCATAGTATGAGAAAGGAATGCTGTTTGATGCAATGCAAACACTTAAGTGCTTCCTTATCCCCTCAGACGCACAGATTCCCAGCTCCAGGGGCTTGTGCTGTGCCGACACCTGGCAGGCCTGGCTGAGCTGCTCCCCGAGACCCTACGGCAGGAATACATACACAACTGCGAGCAGCTGCTGCTTGGGGACAGCCAGGCTTTTCAGCACGTGGGCCAGACTCTTGGGGACATGGCTGGGCAGGAGTTGCTGCCCAAAGACCTGTTGTGCCTCTTGCTTACCTCCCTACGCCTCCTGTTCGGGGAAGGGGAGGGTAAGCGGGACCTTCCTGAGCCAGCCCGGCGTGGGAGCCTCTGGGTGAGCCTCGGCCTGCTCCAGATTCAGACATGGCTTCCCCAGGCACGCTTCGACCCTGCAGTGAAGAGGGAATACAAGCTCAGATATGCCAAGGAAGAGGTATGGAGACGAGAATTGGGGCATGGGCTCCATCCTGACTGGCTGGGTTTACTTAGTGTGTTAACCCCTTTCACTCCCTTTTGGGGGCACAGAGCATCAAAGGGGCAATTTTGCTCAAGATGCCCTGTGACTTCCCAGGATTGTGTTCTAAAGACTGCTTTTTCCCTCTGGGAGTTCCTCTGCGTGCGCTCAGGCCCTGGGAGAGGGGCCCTACCTAGGATGCTGCTGTGTCTGGCTATAGGCTTCAGTGGGCAGAGGGCAAGACAGCAGAACACCTGAGGCACTGCCAGGGAAGTGCTGTAGCCTTACTATCCAGACGCCCTGCCCTGGAACTAAGTTTTGGATATTTGATTTGGAAAGTACTTCAGACAGACTATAGTATTCTATGGGTTTTGAACTTTTGTTGTTCGGTATTGAAAAGTCCAGAATCAAGTACATTCAGATCTTACGGGTACCTTTTCTATTTGAACCAAACCAGGAACTGCCTACATGAAGATAGTGAGATACTAGTTCTGTATTTTGAAGGAAAATTGTATTAATTGAGGTGAAGGCTAAGTTGCTATAGCAGAGTCCCAAAAGTTCAGTGTTGAAAATAAGGTAGTTTCTTTCACCTAATCACTTGAGGGACCTACCTGAGTCACCCCTCAGGTCATTCAGGAGCCCCAGTTCTTCCAGTCCAGTGCTCTACCCTCCCCCCAGGGCATCGTCCTCTCGGGCAAGGTCTTAGCTGGGCATAGCAGACCAGCTTCTCCCTTTCAATTAGTTATACCAGCTGCAGTGCGAGTGGAAGACCCGAAACCTCTCGTCCGAGCTACAGACCGGAAGAGACCTGGAAGATGAAGTCATTATCAGTTACTCTCATCCTCATATCAGGTAACACAGCAGAGTGGTTATTTGTGTTGGAGATTATAGTCTCTCCTTTTAAAAAAAGCATTTCGAGGTTGACCTTTGTAATGTAATTACAGTGTTAGCAGAGGTGATGATATATATCTCTGAACCACATTAACAATTAGATCCCAAAGCCATGGTTATAGTCAGGAAAAGATATCCTCTGGGAAAGGAGGGGCCGGATTCACATGGGGCCAAGAGGGTTGAAAACAGAACTTATTCTTCACATGGAAGAAGTTGGGTGTGATGAGGTCCACTGTGTGGGTCTGTTGCTTTAGGAAATACTGCATGGTATTTGGGTTCTGAGTGCCTCTCAGAACTGCATCTGCCCTTTGAATTTGGACTTTGAGTAGGCCACTTAATGCCTTTAAGCTTCAGTACCCATATCTGTAAAAGGATACTAGTACCCACTTCAGTGAGCTGTGATGAGATATGCATCTAAATTGCTCAATTAACATCATGTGTGGCATGTAGTAACTGCTCTCTATATTATCCATTTTTATTATAATTGTTAATATCATCATATTATCCCTTACTAGCAGAAATGTCTTCATTTTATTTTCCTGACAGCTCAGTCTAGATTTCTTGCTCTTCTTTTTGTATTATTTTGCCTTTAGGTTGCTTTACCAAAGAATTGATCAGCTGGAGAATCTAATACGCAGCCTGTCGAAGAAGCAGGCCTTTAGACCCCAGCTGCCTGCATATGAGTCCTTGGTGCAGGAGATCCACCACTACATCTCCAGCATTGCCAAGGCCCCAGCTGTTCAGGATCTGCTCACACGGCTCCTGCAGGCCCTGCAGATGGACGGGCTTCGGTCTGCCCAGGTGGCCCAGAACCTTCTGAAGGAGGAAGCCTCCTGGCAGCAGTCGCACCACCAGTTCAGGAGGCGGCTGGCCGAGGAGTACGCCCTGTATCCAGACTCCGTGACCCCACTGCAGGCATCCATCTTGCAGATGCAGCATGGCATGAGGCTAGTGGCATCAGAGGTCCACTCCTCACTCCACAGCAGCGTGGTCTGTGCAGACAGGCTGGACACTCTGGTCGCATCCCTGTTGGCTTTCCCATCGGTGGGCCCCACCTTCCCCACTTACTATGCTCATGCAGATGCTTTGTGCTCAGTCAAGTCAGAGGAGGTTCTGCGAGGCCTTGGGAAGTTGACCCTCAAGCGCTCAGGAGGAAAGGAGCTGGAAGGCAAGAGCCAGAGACCCTGCCCCACCCGAGAACAGCTGCTGCTGAACGCCCTTCTTTACCTGCGTTCCCATGTGCTCTGCAAGGGAGAGCTGGACCAGAGGGCCTTGCAGCTCTTCAGACACGTGTGCCAGGTAAGCCTGTCCCAGTGCGGGTCTGCCCCAACCCCCACTCAAGGGAACTGGGAGAACAAGCGGGGCACCTGCAGGACGGCAGTGTCAGTCAGTGTTCATAGAGACTGTGATTCCTGAGGGGGATCTACTGTTGTTTCTTTTATTTCCTATTTAACGGTGGGGTTTGGAGGCCTTTGTTCCTCAGTTTTTAAGAGATTAAAAAAATCATAGTGATATTAGCCCTTTATCTGTGTTACACACTGCAAAGAATTTGTTGGTTTTCTTTTGACTTTGTTAGTTTTTGTCATATAATTTTTTATTACTATGAATAAAATAACATCTTTTTTTCCCCTTACCAACAAAATCAACTTGTTCTCATTTAAAACAGTTAAAATAGTAAATATTAGCAAAAATTACTATTATTTACCAAACTCTGTTAACATGTTGGTGTTTCCCATTCTAGGCTTGCTTATTTGTGTCTATGTATATATATGTCTGTGACATTCTTATTTTAAGTCATTCCTCCCAGTGGTTTATAGTTTTTTGTTTAGCAATAGAACCTTTTTAAAAATAAAAATCTTAACATAGTGACCCAATATTTAACTGATAAAAATGTACTGGTTGAAAACAATTCCATCCCTCCCATGGTCCCTGAGATGGGTCCTTTAGTCACTACAAACCAGTAATAAAGTCCATTCTGTTTTGTGACTTGCTTTAAAAAACCCTAATAGCATTTGGTGATTATTTTCCCCAGCATTCTTTACTTGCATCATGTTCAGCTGCTGCCTAGTTTTCCATTGTGTGGGTATGATATAAGTCATTTAAATAATTTCCTATAATTGAAGATTTGTATTTCTATGTACTTCTTCCTGCTGTTTTTTGGGAAAAACCCAACAACACTATAAATAGTCTTAAAACCAGGTCTTTGCATATAAATTCTAGGCAGCAGAATTGCTGGGACAAAGATTAACTGCTTGGGCCAGCTGTGGGCAAACTACGGCCCGCGGGCCGGATCCGGCCCGTTTGAAATGAATAAAACTATTGAAAAAAAAGACCATACCCTTTTATGTAATGATGTTTACTTTCGATTTATATTAGTTCACACAAACACTCCATCCATGCTTTTGTTCTGGCCCTCTGATCCAGTTTAAGAACCCATTGTGGCCCTCGAGTCAAAAAGTTTGCCCACCCCTGGCTTGGGCTTTTAATACAAATTATCTTACTGAATGGTGGATACTTATCTTCATCAATACTCTGTGGTTTCCTTATTTTATACTTTTGCCAATATAAGGACTTAAAATCTTAGAGATAATGGGGGATTTAAGAAATGCCTGATAAGGCATATTCCAGTTTTGCCTGATTGGTAGTGAATCACACCCCCACACTGCCCCTCCCCTCTTGTGGTCACCCCCCCCCACCACCCAACCTGTCCTTAGTGCAGAGCACCATTAACCCCTGACAGGAAGTTTTTTACACCTGTAAAATGCTAATGCTGTGGCAAGGGGGGGATTTAGGAAAGGGGTCGCTGTAGACACAGTTTGAAAACAAAGGCCATTTGCTCTCTGTTCCCTGAAAATTAGTTTCTTGGATGTTGGCATTTATTTGTTTTTTAACCATGATATTCTGTTTTCACGAGAAATTAAAAGATAGTAAATCTTGTGCTTTTTCATTGTAAGTGACTCAGCAAAGGCAAATAAGCTTCCTTCTGAATGTGTGACTTTTCAGGAAGTCATCAATGAATGGGATGAGCAGGAACGCCTTGCCCAAGAGAAGGCCGAGCAGGAGAACAGCCTGTACAGATATAGGAGCAGGAGCTCCCGGACAGCCCTGAGCGAGGAGGAAGAGGAGGAGCGGGAGTTCAGAAGACAGTTTCCACTGCATCAGCAGGTCAGGATTTGTTCTGGAATGAATTCCCTTGATAACACACACACACACACACTTCCCTCCAATGGTTTTGCAGTCTTTTTACTAGATCATATATATATAAAATATGCAAAGTGTACCTTTGGGAATGAGACTGGAAGACCAAGAGTTTGATTGTTTGCTCTGATGTGCGCTGACCATCGGGGCAGAACGGAACGAAGGGAGGCCCTGGCCAGCAGCCGGGGAAGGGAGGACCCAGCCGGCAGTCGAAAGGCCCCAATCTGCCCTGATCATTGGCCAGGCCTAGGGACTCTACCTGTGCACGAATTTCATGTACCAGGCCTCTAGTTGCATATAAGTCACTACCTCATTTTCTTGATTGTTCACACTCTATCTTTTCCCTTCCTTTTAGTCTGATAAGAACTGGATTTAATATTTCTTTAAAGTTTGATTGTTCTAATGTTATTTACAGGACTTCGCAGATATTTTGGTAGAACCAACACTAGAGGAGAAGGGAACTTCAGATGGGCAAGAAGCAGCAGCAGCCACAGACCCCACCCTCCTCTCCTCAAGCTCCATGCAGGCTGTGATGCTGATTCACCAGCAGCTGTGCCTCAGCTTTGCTCGGTCCCTCTGGTACCAACAGACTCTGCCACAGCATGAGGCAAAGCACTACCTCAGCCTGTTTCTGTCCTGCTATCAGACTGGGGCATCTCTGGTGACACACTTCTACCCCCTAATGGGTACGGCTATTTACTTCGTTATACTCTTAGGAAATCAAAATGAATAGATATCATTGCTACTTCTGGAACAATGAAACCATTACCTCCCTGTTTTTCCTGGATTTAAAATTTTTTTTGTTTAAGGTATTACGTATGTGTCCTTATCCCCTCATTACCTCCTGCACGCGCGCACCCCCCCATCTGTGCCCATTGTTATGCTTACATGCATGCATATAAGTCCTTTGGTCGATCTCTCCCCCTTCTCACCCTCCCCTGCCCTCCCTCTTAGGTTCAATGATCTGATTGATGCTTCTCTGTCTCTGGATTTCTTTCCTTTTTTTTTTTTTTAATATTTATTATGTTCCACAAATTAGTGAGATCATGTGATATTTATCTTCCTCTGACTGGCTTATTTCACTTAGCATAATTTGACCCAGTGACCCCAGTTCTAGGAATATATTCCAAGAAACTAGAAACACAAATCAGAAAGGATATATGCACCCGTAGGTTCATAGCATCACAATTTACCACAGCTGAGATTTGGAAACAC